TCTTTCTATGTTATACTTTCATTATAATATATTCTTTAAACCATGTTATAAGTATATAGTTTTGAAGATCAATTTAATTTCATTGTCTCAAAATTCAAATTTTTATCTTGTCTCTTTTTATTAACACAGCGATATTTAGGAAGATTTGAAGAATAACAGTAAGCAGTTTCACAGTCATTTTCATTAATTAAAGTTATAAAATTTCGTTATCCATTCTGATATATATCCGAAAAATCCGAAACAAGATAGGGTCCAGTCGTATGTCAAATCTATACAAACGTAAACACAGAACTAATTTACTTCTAGTGTGTGCGCGTCCTATGTTTTGCAGAGGTTGAGATTGTTCGTGCAAACTTCAGGCGACTAACATTTGGACGAATACGGATTCAAAGTCCGAAATAAAGTTTTATTTCGGACATTGTCTAGAACGCTCTTGACAATCTGAACTTTGCCTAGGCAATCTTAGGATTGCCGATCCTTCGGGTCCTTTGACGGTAGCATATATACAATATCAAATATTCATCATAGTATACATGTGTATTAATACTCTTTCATATTCTCTAAGGTATACCGATTATTTTATAACCAATTTTGAAAGATCATTCTTATTTTTGATAGCAGCTGGCATGAGTAGCTTGTGCCTTAATCTTGTTTGTGTAAGTTTTGTGTTTTGTTTATATACCACTGAACTAGTTTACGAGATTTCATTTCATTAACATTAGCTAAAATATTAATAAATATAAAAAAAAATAAAAAAACATTTCAAAATAGAAAAAACTTGTCATAAAATATATATATTAAAAATTTTTAAACTGGTGAAAGAAATCCGTAAGAGGAAAAAAATGAGTAAGAGGGAAGGAGAAAAAAAAGAAAAAAGATAAAAATAGTTCTTTCTAACATACTGATTAATTAAAAATGCATTTGCTATTAAAAATGATTATTTGCACAAGATATACACAACTGTTACGATAATATATGAATAAATACACAAACTACGTAAAAAACTACGTAAAAAACTATAAATTAATACATATGTAAACCGTAATATTTTACATTATAATTTCTAGATAGCAATGTTTGACGGTAACATTGAGCAGCTTGTATTATCTATTAGAATGTCAATTGTTCTTTACTATTACTTGTTTCTATCCAATTATGTCGCACAAGAAATTACCGAACATAATAACTACGTATTTGCTACTGCGTAAGAAACGTTTACACTTTATACAATTACGTGCGAATACTCAATTTACTGATGCTTGCAAAATAGATATTTTAATGTTAACGAACATAATAAATTCATAGTTGACGTGATTTGTAAATTTTTGCTATAAATTCCCCATTACTTTTTCTTATCTTTTTATAATTATCAATTTGTCATCATTTTGTAGATACGACAATCAATGGTATGTGGCTCATTTAAACATACAGAAAATGGTGTTGTTTCTGTTACAAAGAGGCACTAAAAGTTTTAATGTAATTCTTGGTGGAATATTTGTGGCATCGATGGAAAGTGCGGCATCGGTAAGAAATGTCCTATTACAATATCCTATTAATATAGATTACAAATGGAAAATAAAGGAAAATATATTCTAGATGTTGAGTGCTTCAATATCTTATTGTACTGTTCTCTATTCTACGCGGAAAAATTGAATAACATGTGATATTATGATTAATCCTAAATCAATGAAACCACTGATCAGGTTCTGCGTATGAGATTATCCGCAAATATAGAAGAGATTATCCGTAAGAAACAGAATTTAGAATTAACAACACTGTATATTCCGCCGTTTAGTTTTTCTTTAACTGTTATTGTAAATTCGTTAAATTTTTAGTAGTTGCGTTAAACAAAATGCATACAAAATGTCTGTAATTATTAAGGTAACGCAGAAATTATCCGCAATATCCGAATTATGTTTTACTTGAAAAAGTTTCGGATGATTTTTAACTTACTCTCGCAGTTTTATTTTTGTACAAAACATATTAAACAAATCAATTTTGAATTTAATTTAACATTACATGTATCACTTGTTCAGTACTTGTTCAAATACAGACTGAGATGCTAGCGAGGAGAAAAATGAAAAGCAATATTGACAATATGTAGTGGAATGTGCCAGATAGTTAGATAAGAAAATTATTATGATTTCATGTATAATATATCTTAAATTGTGAATAAAATACATTTCTTTGTGTACAAAATACATTGACAAAACTGCTATTAATCCATCATAGAATTCACTCACGTCTTAACGTTCACAATTAACGAATGTTAATTACATTCGCCTAGTTACAATGTTGAACAAAATTTAATCTAGAAACGAGTAATAAAAAAATCAGAAATGTGATTTACATTATAATAATTTACTCTGTAAATATGTATCGAAAAGCTGTATAAATACTCATCAATCAATAGCTTAGAATATCTCTGTTTAATGTGTTATATATCAAAAGTGCTTTTAAAAGTGCTTTTAAGATAAGAGTTAGATAAGACTACTTACTACTAATAAAATATATAATGTTTAACAATATTTAGACAACTATACACTACGAATGATCATACGAGAGTAAAAAAAATAAAATTGTAGAGTTGGAAAATTACGGCCATTGCGGCTGCGCGACTTATGTAGAAAAACACCTTGCTGTGAACATTTTTCTATGAGAAAAGAACATTCATGAAATTGCTTTTAATGTAATATCGATCGTTTATTTATGAACTCTATGCCAAGAAACTTTCCTAAATTGCGAGAGATTGACCACA